GCTTTTAAAAAAACAGTCTAAGATATAATTTTAAAACCATGAGAGTAAAAAAGCATGTTAAAATAAAATAAAATCTTATTATTCATCTAAGTCTCTTTAAAAGGTACATTTGTAAGGCAGTTTTCATGAAGACCTTAAGAAGGAACTCTGAAAATATGTTTTTTCAAAGATGCAATTAGTCTATACCAGTCTAGAATCTTGTATATTTTCAAGCCTGCCCTAGTGTGATAAAAAGAGACATGTTCTTGAATGTTTCTGCATAACAGAAAGACATGTAAGATTAAATAGAGGATAAAACACAACTCCTGTCTCTTCTTAAGCCATAACTACATTGAGAAAATTCTTCTTGTTCTGTTTCCATCATATAAAAGAATAGTTTGTTTTGACTTAATAGAAGCACTGGAAACACTCTAAGCTCTCTTCTGGCTGGACATTTTAGTGTGTTTGGATTTCTCCTTTCTACCGCTTAGTGGCTCATGATGTAGCGCAATGCTGCTTCTCCAGCCCTCTAAGCGAGTCTGAAATGCACTTTGGTCTCATCAACAGCTCCTTCGCCTCCTGCTGAGGCTGAATTTCCCAGTGCAGGAAGAAGGCAGAGCTGACAAAAGCATAGTGCTTTAGTGTGTAGAGCCACTGGGATAGCCCAGTGGGAGCCTGTTAGCGTCAGTGCCTGCAATGTACATTTCCATCACCTTAAAAATAGTACCCATTTACTCAGATATCAGCCATCAGATTTTTAACTTCACATCCAAGGCATTTAGCTTCTCTACATACATGTCCCTGGAGTCTTCCCGGTCTCCAATTGCACAGAGTGTTCTTTCCCAGAATGTTTTTACACTGGACTGGACCAAAAAATCTTGTTTTACAGTTTAGCCAGCTTTGAAAAACTAAAGGTTTTTAGCAAATTTAGCTAATTTTAGGAATGAGAAAGAAGAAATGAAATATCCACATTGCACAGTGCTTTGTATTAAAGAAAACAAAAAAGGTCAATTGTGATGTCAGAACTGGATCTAGTTATTGAAATAAACTGTGGGACAATGTATAAAGAATAATAATTGTTGAATATATGTCATGAATTTGGGATCAAATACTCCATGCTTATGACATGCACAAGACAGAAAGTCTACTAACAGAAACAGAACTGTAGAAAATATTAATATGTGACATAAAAACAACATACTAAAGCATTCTTAAAAGCTTTTATGACAGTTTAGTAATGAATACCACTTCACTTTCTACTGCTGAAAATCCTGTTGGTTTTTCACTTTCTATGTTTGGGAATTTGAAGTCTCCCATAAAATCTATTTCTTTCTACACATACATCTCTTATCCCTATAACTGTATGATTAATATCTAAATTTGGATATGTGCAGCTTACTCCTAACACAATACCTTTTGAATGTTTTAAAGCAATTGTATCTTTCAAGAGCATATTGATTTAACATCTATTTCAACAATGGAAACAAATTACTCTATTCAGGTACAGCTAATGACTTGTGGAATTCACAGCTGACAACAGTGGGTATGCCCACAAATGTATAAAAACATGGGAAAGTCTGATTCACTTTTAACCTACTTTTATTTCATTTACAATTGTATAACAACACTTATTTTTCCACATCACCCACTATTGCTAATTTAAATTCAATTCATGCAGCATTACTTGCTATAGCCCTACATTTTCCTTGTAGAAAAACATATTACTTTAGATATTTTTATTTTTATATTTCTCGTGTAACAGATTTACACCAAATGGCACAATGACACTGAAACATAGATAGTTACTAAAACAAGGCTTAAACATTCATGAAGCTAAATGGAAAATAATATATAATGTAAAATTAACAGGTAGTTTTCTTTCTTCCACAATGAAAGATATGTAGTTGTTGAACCACATATGAAAGTTTAGTTGATGAGAGTTTAGCCTGTTAGTTGCAAAAAGTTTTCATATTTTTTGTTTAGAATAATATATTTCACTCATGGAACTCACGGAAAAGAATAAAACAGTAACATGAAACATTTTAAATTCTTATTTCAGAAAACACCAAATCAGAGTCATCTGCTACATCTTTAACACTGGCATAGTGATGGGAAACTAAACAATAACATAACATCAGATGTTGTTTACCTACTCTTTGACATATTTCCATTCACAAGTGACTGGAAGACATAATTATGCAAGCATTATTAAATTTTTTAAACAGATAAAATTTGTATTCTATTCTTTTATTATAGTCTGATTTAAGTTGGGAACTTTTGGAAATACGACTGATCGAAATAAATGAGGGCTATGTGTGTTTCGATTGAGTTTATTTTTGATAGCTTAATATCTACTGTACTGCATTAGACTTGAGTTTCCATGCTCCTCCCTTCGATCTCTGAGCTGTGGGCTTGGAGTTTTAGTTTTGAATCATTTCCTAAATCACAAATTATTTGTTCAAAATTAATAAATTGTCAACTGCATAGCACCATTTGCTAGAATGATCTATGGTTTAATAAAGTTGTTACTTCCAAAATTGTTGTGCAGCCTAGAATATTTGGTCCTGTGGAATATTCAATGTTACTGTACAGCTGTGTATGCTTGGAGCTCAGAGAGAACACAGGCTGTTACCACCTTTTAAAAGTAAATGTGTATCTGCATATACTAGTAAAAGAAATTCCACAATAATTAAATGTAAAACTATCTTAAAATATAATATATAACATGATAACTATGTATAGCACATGATGATATTATAATTAAGTGCTCATATAATTAGTAAGCAATTTCCAGATATTCTGTAATTAGAGACACAATGTAGAGTCTTAGTGCATTTTTTTCATCATATTTAAATAGTAATTTCTGAATATAAACACTGCATTCGATATTTGTTTCTCAGTTGTTCAGAGTAATGAAGAGGGTGGTAGTTTATCTAGTCAATAAGGAAGATGTAAGCAAATACATGTGTAATAAAATCTATGTTCCAGCCACTTGTACTGGATCACTAAGAGGATCCTGTCCTACAGTATATTCGAAGACGTTGCATTGTGACCTGTTGTGTCCTTAAAAAAAGTTTCAATTAATTGATATCTATCAAATCTAATTTTAAAGTAAAACTTTAACTGACTTCACTTTAATGGACTTTGGATATAATGCACAAAACCAGGTAAAGGGTATTTTATCTGCAAAAGGAAGTACCCGACAGACCCCTTTAACTGTACTGTACTGTAATACACAACAATATACTGTAGTATTTTTATATACAGCTCAGTAATGGATATACATATTTAGTAAGCATATAAACAGTATACATATTCGTTCTCATATAAGGCTGTGTTTATGGGGCTTGGCATGTCTCATTTGTAATTTAATGGACAGCCAGCAAATACTGGACACCACTTTCCCCCTATTAGCACTGTATACTGTATTAGTGAGGGTATACTGTATTTTACATATTTCATGGCTCCTAAGAGATTTTACTGATTGTTCAGTCAAAACTGGCAAAACCAGCACTGCTTTTATTCACTTTTTTTGGCTCCAATTAAAAAGTGATTTTTAAAAAATAAAATTATTTAAGTATCATCAAAAATGTTTCCTTCTGCAACTAATCAAATGATACACATTTGTATACAAAGGCTATCTAGTCTTTTTTACTAAAATATATGGTAACAGCCAGAATAGCCAGAGAAAATACAGACGGTCAAAAACAAAACTAACACATTAATTGTCAATATCAATCTGATTTGCTTTTCCTTCTGCGACGAGTGTCAAGTTATGAGTTTTCTATAATTCTACACCACTCTTAAGACACTGGATTGTTCAACTTCTAAATGCCATGAGAGACTTTCACTCCAACGGCTTTTCAGAAAAATAAAGCTAAAGAATATTATAAAGAACAGCTAAAGTGCATATATAATATTCATCAATATTATATATGCAGTGGACAATTACTGAAATGTAGATGTCAAACAAAACAGTTTCAAGCACTCTAATATAAAACACAAAGTTAAAGAGATTTGAAACTCAAAAGAGATGTCCTATCCCCCACTTACAAATTACATAATGTGTCAGTTTAATGAAAAAATAATGAGTATTTATGATGGTTCTGATCAAACTTTTTTTTTGTCCCATTTGGAAAAACTTTACTCATATTTTTTAATGACTAACAGGCCTAGGAGTGCTACTGAGCCTCAGCTTCTCACCTACTCCAGCAGGTGTCGCTGTCACACAACACCGATGACAAGGATAGAGTGAATGATTCATACTGAGAAAACTATTAAGAAACACCTCCCAGACTGTAGAAGGACCCATGAAGATTTGTGAGGGAATCTGACAAGCTCATGCCTCATTAACTGCTATGACACTTTTTTCTAGTGTGATTTGATCAAGGGAAGGTGATCCATGGGTTCTGCCTATAAGTTAACTCTGAAAGGGCCTCATGCAGGATGTCAATGAGGAAAATCATTTCTTTCACAATTACCCCAGCTTCCAGAAAATTCTTTTTTGCATGATAAATTAAACAGGTTGCAGATTCACCCTGGCAGCAGGTCTCTGGCCAGTCCAACTTTTGAAAAGGTTACACCTTATGAAACACACATTTGACTGTTATGCTGTTCCTTTTACAAAAGTGGGCATTGGAGAGAAAATGACCATTTCTGGGTGAGGTTTAGGACAGCGGCTATGCCTTCCACAGCCAAAACTGAATTTGCTCATTACAATTTTACTCTTCCATTTCCTTCTAACAAAGCAAAGAAAGACAAAATGGTAAAACACTGGAACAGTTTGGGTTTGCAGTGTTTCAGAGGGAATTACCCTCTTGGAATGGTGGGACAACGCCTGGGGACACTTTTCTCCATTTCAGCTTGGGAAGAGGCATTTCCAATTATGCCTGATGAACAAATAGAACAGGAGAAGAAACTAAAATATAATTTCTGACAAAGCATGATAAATCCCTCAACCTTCAGCTTTATATTGTTTTCAGGAGCGAGTGTCAGAGGTTCTGAGTGAGAGAAATCCATACCGAGTTGGAGGGCATCCCCAGGTTCGTCTCGATGTAGGTGTCTGTCTTAGGCTCCACCGCGAGCTCAGCGTCCAGGATCTTCTCCACAGGCATGTCCTCATTGGCACTGCTCGTCGACTCCACTTCGTTCTCATTGCGATCTTTGCTCCTCTGCCTCTCCTCCTGGACGGCTGCATTTAACAACACTGGTTCCGGTCACTACTGCTGCTTTCAGGCAGGTTTCAGCTGAAGCCCCCTTGAGACACTGCATGTCTTGCACACTACCTGCTCTCTTAATCGACACATTTATAGTGACGGCAAAACTGTTGACTGCACACATAACTACTTAACTGATAACTTCCATATTCCACATTTTTAACTGCTTATTATGCATTTTGTAGCTTTTACTGTTGTTCAACCTCTGATCAGTGCATACCATATGTATCAACTTTGTTTTTTTTTAATTTACACACACCAAAAAGGTTATTCAGACAATTCATAAATACTGTATATATGCATCTTATGATAAAATGAGCCAAACTAACAGCAGTTTGAGTATATACTATACAGCATTTTCACCACAGCACAATGTTTTTAAACTTTAGTAGAACTATTGAAGAATCTTAAGCAAACACATTACTGCAACCTCACTGAAATTTGCAGAAAATAAGTGAAAAAACAATTAATCTTTAAACAAAATGGCATAAAACCTTACCAATTTAAATTTATTCTATGAAAGTCATCTTTTCTTTTTTTGAACAAATCCCCACAAAGTCTTTAAATGATTTGCTTTACCATACAATTTCCATAACCTAAATCTGAAAGCCACAAATGATATATATATATATGTTATATTCATTGTTATATTACAGATGCAGGGCACTTCATATAGTGGCTCTTATGAACTAAACATGCAGATCACTGGACTGCAACAATGTTTCAGCCTAAAACTAAATATGTCATCAGGTAGAACATGCTGTGTCTAGGGAGCAAAGTTGCCCCCCTCTGCAAAGCAAACCTTCACAGGATGCAATCTGGTGCAAAAATCACCCCGTCTTCTAACACTTCAGTAAGCTGTTTTTTGCGTCTTTGCAAACTATTTTGTAAAATTAATTTTGAAACTATGATTCATTAATATCTCTATTTTCCACGATGTGTAAATTGTATGTTTTTTTAAAGGGGGCAACTATTGCAAAACAGTCATTTCATTAATTTTGCTGTCCGAGCTATAAATTCATAACACAGGAAGCGGTTTTTGAATTGTACAGAGACTATCTGTCGGGCGCCTGGCTCAATGTGGTAAAGTCTGTAGTAACCACACTTCCTTCAGTGGCGGTTTGCAGAGAGGCAGCAAGCCTCTGATTCAGAGACCCTTCCCCTCTCAATTTCGACACATACATGCTGTGAATTTCAGACTCTCTTGCTTTTTTGAAAAAATATTTCTAAAACCCTAGTGTGGGTGTGCTGAATCACGGAGCTCGAGAAAAATATTACCAAGCCCATAGAAGGGCCCCTGTTTAACATCAAAAATAATTCAATAGAATGGAGGGGGGGGCTTTCTTGCAAGTTACAGAGGCGAAGAACAAATTTAACAAAGCTCAAAGAATTAAAATAAACATCTACAGTTAGGACAGAATACGTTAACTTAGTTCTTTTTCTCTTGATTTTGCTGCTTTGTTTTTTTAAAAATCTACTTTAGAAACACAGAACAGGTGTCTGGAAATAAAGCTTTAAATTCACTACATGCTCAAGTTGGGAAAAAAACCCTCGGAAACAGCTGGTCTTGTTTGCTATCTAATGGAAGTGAGACCACTCAAGTTTGCCTTCTTTATATAGAAACAGCTCCCTGAATGAACGTAAAGGGTAGGAGAATATACATTTTAAAATTGCTTCCAGCTCAGAATAAACGGTTCTAAATAGAAACCACTCATAAGAAAGGGATCGAATGTTCTTTTCGTGTTTTTGTTTTGATTTATTTTCTACCTGCTGTGAAAAGCAAGCACCTAGGGAGGTGGTCGGTCCTTTCTTGTTGTGAAACCCAAAGGGAAACAAGCCTAATGGATGTCATGGGCCATTAGAAATATTAACTGTATTTATCTCTGCCTGCTTCCTTTTTTGGGAAGGCACTTGCTGGTCAGCTGCTTGATGGGGTCCTGTGAGAGTACTGTGAGAGGACAAGCCTCACAGGACACTTGCACCTCTGTCAAATGAATACATGGCAGAAGGTGGCTCTCTTTGCCAAATCCAGGGATGTGAGATGTAAATTGGAACCAGCTCAGGGGACAGGAAGAGGAAACTGGCCTTTCTTTTCACCACAGCTGGTGGACAGCAAAGGAAGGTGTTTATTTTTAAAAAAGGGTGAAGTGGTTTTCAATAAGACAAGTATATCTTATCAGACCTGATATAAAAGCTTACTTTAAAAAAAGTAAATGGATTTACATTTTAGGACTTACTGGATTATATTAATGTATATGTAATAGTTTTTTATATTGGTTTCTGGTCTATACAGTCATAAATAAGCTCTCAAATGACCATAACTGGCCTTCCCTACTTTTTAAAAACTTTTTTTAAGAGTTGAGATCTGAGGTCTGCAGCGTAATCATTTCCAGCTACATTTGTTATACAGTACTTCAACCAACTTTCTGGGTATAAGCATTCTAAAAGGAAATCAACTTGTTTTTCTTGCTTTAGCTCAGCACAAAACTGTGTTTATTGGAAACGGAGCATAAACAATTCAGCCCACTTGAGGTGGTTCTCTGCACCAAAGCTCTCACTTAAAACAAGGCAAAACTAATGTGGAGAACACGACTTAATCTATGTTTTTGGTTTAGCATATCTAACCCATATGCTTCCACATACTGCTGGTTCTTTTAAAATCTTTTTCTTCGCCCAGCTATATGACTTAGCAGTAGTGAAACTCCTCTGGTGATGAGGTTTATCAGTGGCAGGCACCTCTGGGTGTCAACCACATCTTCAGCACCTAGATCTCTCAGAGGAAAGTGAGGAGGGGTGCGTGTTGCCATCCTATACGGCATGTGCTATACCTTCTCTCTTCATGCCCATGGCCAAACACTTCTGGTAGCGGCAGTACTGGCAGCGATTGCGCTGGCGCTTGTCAATTATACAGTCCTTGTTGTCGCGGCAAGTGTAGGTGAGGTCCTTTCTCACTGTCCGCTTGAAGAAGCCTTTGCAGCCTTCACAGCTGTATACGCCATAATGTTTACCTGAGGGAAGACAAACATGGTCACAGTGCTGGAGGCCTTGCTTCAGGCACTCCTAACAATAAAAGGAGAACTGACATGGTCAGTTTTGGCTCTTGGGCAAGCCTAGGGCCAATACATCACTTACCCACTTGCATGCAGCCTGTGGCGATGCATCTGGGCACCTTTTACTGAATACATTCGGATTCTTGCGACTCAAGATTCACATACAGAATGAATGGAGTACAACCTATCACGTAATATAGTCAACTGAAAGCAAGCATGTACAGCAATTTCAGCTTGTCTTCTGCCCATATTTGCCACTGTTCCTCAGCCATTGTCAAAGTGGCTCAGAGGAAACACGCTTAGCTTTAGTTTTCAGTCCACTGGTTGAAAAGAACAAGTCCAAGGACAGAGAACTTACCAGATGACCTGTCCCCACAAATGGCACAGATGTGTTTGGTAAGAGAGAGTGGGGTGCCTGAGGGCTGAGCTGGTACCTTCATCACACCGTTTAATCCCAGTGGAGGCTTTATATCTTCTGAGCTGCTGACAGGGTTCATGGGGGAATTGAGCTGAAATGCAAAAGAGGGTAAAGACAGATAGTCAGACATGGTAAATTATGAGCAAGAATTCTAGTAACATTCACAAATCTCTTGAAACATTCCAACGAAAATACATACATATAAAAAGGATAATGAAGGTGACAAACACTGTTTAATTTTGAATACAGCTTTGAACCAAGACACAGAAGGATGCACATAAACACCTAAAGAAACTAAAGAGGATGATACATCCAACATATTCAAATTTAAGAATCAAACCAGGAACAGCATCACAATATAAACACAATCCTTGACATTCTTTTAGCTTCATACAAAAGACTTTTGTTTCCATGTATCAGTGCACTATATTTTAGCATTTCTAGTGTTGCCTACAGTTTTACTCCTTCCAGTAATGTCAAAAGTCAGCCAGGTTCCCAACTTGTTCTTGTTAAACTGGATATTTTAGTGTATTAAAAATAAAAGGCAAAAACACTTCAAATTATCAGTAGTAGCAGTAAAAAACTTAAAATGTTTGCTATAGGCTACAACTCATAACCAATGTAAATGCTCAATTTTGATGCATAATAGGCATAGCTGCCAAATACATAAAATACTGTAATCTTTTGTCCACAATTTATTCTAATAATGCCCTTAATTCACCCTTTGCCTTACAAATTTGTGTATTATGTTTTTCAAACTTCAATTGAAACTTTCAAGAGCTGCTAGTTTTCTTTTTATCCTCAGTCTCTTCAGCACTGAGGTGTTGATCCATTCAGTGCTATGCAGTATGGCATTTTTCTAATCACATATTGCTTTGTTCCATGTTTCTTTTGAAAATGTTTACATTATATTACTTTGGCCTTACTCCAGTGAAAATCTAGCAGTCATTTACTTATTGGTCAAAATATTAAGATCTCCCACCGAATAACATGTTGTGCCTCAGGCAGGAAAAAGAACAGCATGTTTTTCAAAAGGTTTTGCAATATCTGCATCCCAGTCATATTCCATTCTTCCAGAAGGGCTGCCTACAGTTAAGGCTGCATTGAAGTTAATGGTATGAGTGACAGAACTGCATAGTTGCCAGGCTTCTCAGCTGCCTCTACCATTATAATATTACTTGCCAATATAATAATATCATATGAGGATATCCCTGTAGCATGGCAAATCTCCAGTGTTAACACAGTTGCAACAGTTTATTACTGTTCCTTATATCTATACAAGCTAACCTTTTATAAAAATAAATACTGCTTGAGGTGCATGCCAAGACACAAGAGCTCTGGAGGATGAATCTATATATACAGATGTATGATACTGAAACCTGCTTAAAGTGAGTAACACCTTCAAAGTGGCAGAGCTGAGATCATCCATAATTTCAATAACTTGCTGTTACTTATACTGAGTTGTGTATATATAAACATTTATTTAACACTTTGAGTTGTATGGAGCTGTTTTGTCAAACAAAAGCCAAGTAAGCCATCTCAGTGAAATCCAGCTTCTTTACTGTTCTATTTTTAAGCATTAATTTAAAGCTATTCTTGAAAACTGCAAATGACCATATTCTGTTAAAGGAAATGGTCACAGAAAACAACATGAATCAAAGCTGTTTTCTCTTGTTGCTGAGAGTAAGGCAGACCACTTACTACATTGCATGGTAAAAAATATATTTATTTTTTCTTCCAAAAATAATACTACAAGACTATGAGAAAACCAAAACAGATTTAAAGGCTTCTAAGCAAGTTTGCTTCTAACTTACCTGAACAGAATGACTAAATATCAAGTTAACTAGGGGAAGCTATAATTATTCCTTCCATTTAAAACTTAAACGGTTTTTAAACAACAGGAGTTAGTGTTATTGGTGGTGTTATCAACATCGAAGAAAAAGACATAAAGGTCAGGGGGCCTGTTTATACAGGTATCACATTTTCACATACTTTTTATAGTTCCTTTTGATATTAGCATTACAAAGTTTGGTGTTAATGTGCTGAACACCTTTTGTATAAGATAAGCAAGCTCTATAGGGTGATTTCTTCACACACATGATCACCTGGTGTGGGCTTACTAAGTGTAAGTGCAGGTGTGTGTTGTGCTTGACAGATCAGTCACTAGAATGACACCTACCAGATCTGGAGCTAATTAGCCATATAGTCCTTGATTAGGACATGTTTTTGAGTAAAAGGAGCTGATGACCTGATGTGGGTCAGAATACTGTATTATCACATCAACTTGTGAAATACAAGTCAGAAGCAGGTCTGGTTGTTCATGAAATGAAACATGCCAAGACAGAGGCAGCCAGGGCTTTCCATCAAAAGCCTCCAAAAAATGTCTCAGTGGCATTCTGAGACACATTTTATGATGTACTAACCTAAGTGTTCTAAGCTGCAGATTTTATAAAGCTGAAATTTTGTTGAACACAATTAGTGCGATTTTGACTGGGTTTTTGAAAATGAGCATCAGGCTGCCAAGTTGTTTGACCTGAATTTTGTCACAAATTTAGTGACTTGCCTGTTCCAGTATGTACCTGTCCAGTATGAAGCAGATATCCTGTCTAACACTGCTTCAGTGTCACCTGTCACTCTTATTTCTTTATGTTTGTGGGATTTTGTCTAACATGTTGTAACTATACCATTTCCTGTGCAAAATCCCAGCCCTGGGATGGGAGAGTTCTACGGAAAACCAGGTTACTGCTGTAAGTTGTGTTGAGGTTCTGTAGGCTGCACTCTTTTTTAACCACTATTTTCAAAACCAGTACCCTGCAATTGGTCTCAGAATGGAGACAGATGTCACTGTGCACTATGAGGTGCTGTCCTTCAAGTGACATGCTAAACCAAGGTCCTGAATTCTTGGTTATTAAAGATCCCAGCACACTGTTCATGAAATTATTAGTATTAACTTGGTGTCCTTGACAAAATCCAATCAAGGCCTTCACAACTGAGTAAACCTAAACTTCTCCCTTAATTCACATGATGACACAATTTCTCACTTCTACACCTGATCTGATAAGCATTGGGGCTGTTGGCTCATGATGTCACTCAGGTGGGTGGTGCATGTAAACTACAATTATCACAGCCGTAATATCAGAATCAACAGGCTAGCAATCTTAACTTTAGTGACAAGGGTGGCAAAATTAGGTCATTAAAATGAAAGGAAATGAGAATGGTTTATGTATGTTCAATTTTATTAAGTTAAAAGAAAGGCCGCAATTGGTGTTGTATTAAAATACCCTACCAGAAACAGTGCTTTTTTGTATTGCAAAGTGCACGCAACATTTGAATTTGCTGCCAACTACAGCCCTCTGATCTGTAAAATATATCTGCATACTTCCTGCAAAGTTGCGTACTGTTTAGTGACCTTTTCATTTTTTCTATGTATGTTTAGTACATTTTCCATTTGAAACGTCAGATTAAATCTGGCTTTAATACTCCATCTAGAGATGCTTGATTTCATATCAGATTCAGTCTTTCTAGTGCTGCTCGGAATCCCATCAGAAACCACTTTCATCTTTCATCCTTTTCAGCCTTTTTTTCTTACCATATTACATACAATAAATGTCCAAAGCTGTCAATTTACCTATCAATCAAAATGACCTTTTGCACTCCAAAAACTACTTCTTGAATGCAGGGAACCACTGTCTTTTTTATATATAATTATATTAAGCATATTTTTAATGTAAAATTTATTTAATTTAAATCTTAGCATATCTCCTGGGCAAAACTATATACTGGCTGTGCCTGTTAAATTCTCCTTACTTCAAAAAGGCACTAATTTTAGCATGGCTATTTCTGTGTATTTGGTGTGAAACCAGGAGATTGGGTTGATAATCATTGTTGCTGAACAGACACCCCTGGCAGGTAGCAAAGCATAAGATCCTATTCTGGACAGAAGGGTACTTCTACTGATCTGACCTAAATTGCTTTAATGAGACAATAAAATTAATTCTACCTTATGTAAACTTCAGGTTTCTAAAAAAAGATCAGTGCAACATGCCAAGGTTCAGAAAAGTGTTTCTAAATGCTGGGATGGAGTGCACACACTGTTGTGAAAATAATGTGCACAGAGAAGGACAAAAAAGCCTTTTTTGTAAAAGCAACTAAAATAATCTCTACATCTCAACAACACAAAACTCTAATAGGAAAACATGCATCTATGAGTATTCTGTCTTTATGTTTTAATTTATTGCAAAACTAAATTTGAGGGCTTTCCTTTTTTTGGAATGACCCCTTTTTAAATTCAGATAAACTAAATTACTTAGCTAATAGTGATGCACGGGTTGACTCACATCCGGGGGTCAGGGGGCTCGGGTTAAAAAATAGATTTTGAATCGGGTCAGGTGGGTGCGGGTTCGTTTCTCACAACCGCGGGCGGGTGCGGATAAAAAAAAAGCCGACCTGTGCATTACTAGCTAACGTCTTCAGAAGGTGGAAGGACACTGAAGCACCCAGAGAAATCTAAATGAACATCGGGAGAACACGCACATGCAAGACAATGCACTAGGAATTTTCAAATTAAAAAGTAGATTTAATATGTCAGTTTTAATATCTCGAGCTGTTTAACATGTTAAGGTGTTAAAAAACGTTTTTTTTTTTTAGATTTGGGAAAATGAGTTATATAAAGAATAAAAGATGCAAAGCTAATTGAGCACTAGATGTGATAAGACTGGCTCTTTAGTTTGCAACATACAGTAACAGGTAGCTCCCATAGAAATCACAACTAATAAGGTTATTTTCTACTACATAACAGTAGAGGGAGGTTAAAGATCAATTTGCAAAAACCAATTAGACTGCAGTGATCAGGTGAAATTACTTAACCTGGCAAATTATTTTCTACAGGTTCTGGAGTGATATTTTTTAATGTCTGCTCATTTCCTTTGTACATTGAGAAGGGTTTTTTTTTTTCATCTGGCTCCACATGTGCATAATCTCTCTTTTTTGTTGTTACTAGTGATCAGGACCAGGAAGTGACAGATTTTAATGCTGTATGACCAAAGCTGACAATATCTGTACCAGAAATACATGCTGTTGGCTTTGAAAATA